CTACTCACGTGAAAATCTTTAATATTTATGTTGATGCATATCTGAGTGCTTATCATCAAATCAAAGTGTGCAGTAAAAAAAAAAAAAAGGCAGCTTAAGAAAGTTCCAGTGTTTCAAAGAAAGCACTTTTTAAATGTATATACTTGCAGAACATTTTGTTATATCATAAAATGCAGCACTGTGTATAATATAAAGGAAGACTAATATATATGGAGTTTTGGCCTTTTTCCCCCTATGTGCTACAACCATCTTTAACCTGCTGAACTTAATCTCAATGGTTATAGGAGTTTTTTTTTCCCTATTCAGTTCACATTTCAGGCTGTTCAGCAGATGCCTGTGATTCTGGAGATTGAAATTGCTGCTAAAAGTTTGTTCTCCGTTTCCTCAAGTTTTCAGGAGCTTTTCTCCATAGAATGATCTCCTACTGCTTGAAGTATCTTCTGTCTTCCTCATCAACAAGCACTAAATTCAAAAAGTTTCCTCACTGAAAATTTTTTGTTCACATCTCTCATTGTTGGAGTTGGATCATATCCTGCTAAAAATAGTCTTATCGGAATTGATTCACCTTTTACTGGTGCACCATCCGTTATTTCATATTTGGCGATTGTTTCTGTTTCTGTTGTGGTACTGGGTCTAATTCCTGTGATCTCTTTTTTGATCAGTTGTAACTCCCCATATGTTATATTTTTATTCTTACTAATAAGAAGTAAATTTTTCCAACAATCACATCCTTTAAATGATACTTTGATTTATTATATTCAAATTCTTTATGTAGACAGTCTTCAATGCCCACTTCCATCTTAATAGAGTTGTTAACATCAGGATAGGTGGCAAGCTGGTGAACAATAAGATCATATTCTTTTACCAAGTCTGTCAGTCTTCTTACTATTGTCACTTTAAATATCTCAAGTGGGCATTGGCACCTATGTAAGATTCATATGGCTTTGCAACTTGCATAAATTCAAAATCATAACTTCTGCTCTGAGTCAGTTCTCCAGGTAGGGCTAGTTCTTTCACTAGGTTTACAAATTCATGAGTATTACTCTTGTCATTGAAAAGTTCAATTTGACCTACAAATTCTATTCTAATTCCTTGGTGCTCTAGCCTCTTTCCAGTTGCTTAAAGGTTAGTTTTACCTTCCCTGAAACAGATTCTCCATCATAGAAGAGATAGTGTTTTTCTACTTTGCCATCTTCAGTTTTCATTTCTGCCATTTTCCTGGTTTCTCCATCATTAAGGCCAGTATCAATTTCATGAATTGGACCAAAAAAGCCTCCAGGACAGCTCATTGTCAGCACCACTGCCACTGCCTCCACATCCCCACCCTCCACTCCGTTTCACTCCCATAATGTATTTCAATTAAAAAGTAATCTGTTTCCTAGAAGTATCCTATCATACCCCCTGAAATTACAATATATGTAATTTATCTCTCACATATTCATCATTCAAATACTCTATCCATTCTTGGATATCCTTTCCCTGGAACATCAACTCCTAGCTAGGGTATACTGCTCCTTAAAATAGGGCTTTTTGGATTGTTTTTCTCAACAAACCCATCTCTTTCTTGTCTTCCGCCAACTTGGGGAGGAAAAGTGTATGTATTTAAAGAAGTTATGATGGCAGAGAAAAATGTTGGCAATCTTTAAACATTTTCTGCAATATATTTTCCCTTTTTTTTGCTTCTAGGAAACTAATGTGAATGAGGTACTTGAAAGCTCAAATTATAATAAATCTGAAGAGAAGCTTAAAAATATTGAAACAGAATCCAGGATGTCCCAGAACGTTGGGGGCGGGAGGCCGGTTCTGAGATCAGGTAAGCATCCGCGGGGAAGCCAGGTACTCTTACGGCTGCCCACGACTCTCAATGGCTCTGGATAGAGGACCAGGAGCCAGGACACCTGAGCTTTTCCTGGCTTGCTAGCCCGAGTCGCGCAACCAGCTTAGCTGAGGCCCCGATGGCAGTTAGCTGGAGCCGGCCCTGACACCTGAGCTCGGTTTCCTCTGGGCCTGATGTACCCTAGGTTGCGGGAGGTCCAGCCTAGCTTTTCCAGCACTGCGGGTGGGAGAGAGGAGGAGACTGCCCTGGAGAAAACAGTTCCATGGAAGCCCAAGGAGAAAATAGAAGGATCCTCATTTACTTGCTGGGCAGAGTGGGATGGAACTCTGACCATGCACCAGAGCCTGTGTTAGGGCTGGCACATAGTAGGTGTCAGCACTGCCCTTGCTAGGCATTTGAAGGGCCACAGAGAACCCGCCCTCCTCCCCCGCAGGTCCCCAGCCCTTCTCATGCGTGTGCTGTTCAGCCCCCATTCTTCAGCCTACTTAACCTTTAAGGCTCCTCCAGCTCTCAGATTTCCCTCCAAGTGTCTTCGCCCACAGTAAATGGACTTTGCAAGCACTATCACTTAGGTGTGCCGAAAGTGGCACTGAGAAGCCAGGACACGGGAGGTGTATTATATTTGCCCCTGGAATGACAGCTCTGCCAAGAGGCATTCCATCTCATCTGAGCCTCCTAAGAATACTTACCGATTCCTTTTCAACAGTAAAAATTCAATCTCTGTCCAAAACCCGATCAGTGTATGTAAGATCTCAAGCTTAAATAAATTGACACACACCCCCAATTGTGTTAATCCACCAGTCAGTATTATGCTCATGTAACACTTAACCAAAACAAAATTATCTTTAAGCACAGGGCTCTGTTTTCAGTGACCATATTTTCAAGTCCACCAAAGAAAAGCAACAGTTTTAGCACTAACTTCAGTTGGTCACACAGTCTATTGTTTGAGTCACTGTAGAATCTTGCACCCACAGAATTGAGAAGCGGTGAATTCCTGAGACAGCTCTAGGCAGAGAGGTGTGTTTCCCTACAAGAACAATGTTAACCCCACAAGAAAAATATTAATCCCAAAAGTGAGTGCTAGTGATTAGGTATTGACCATGTAAGAGGCAGTAGCTCATTGCTTTTGGCTACAAAAACCAATGGGCTGTGTTCAGTTGGGTGTGTGTTCTTTGTTGTTAGCAGTGTGATTTTACGTAATTTTTTTAATCCATTGATGTCTTAATAAGCCAACATGTTTAGGAACTAGTCCTGATTATCTGCATTATCTTGTAAACCGCCTCATGCAGTGATGTATTTTGGAAAGGTTATTTACTTCTTACCTTAGGTTTAGCTCTTTGGTAGGGTCTTTATTTAAAAAAATTAAACGTGGAAATTGCCTTTTACTAACAGCACTAGGCAGAAGAAATGCCTTTTTCAAAGCTTTATGTAGTTTGTGCAAAATGTAGTTTGTAAAGCCAAAAAAATTATTTCTGAATATAGAAAACAGAGTAGAAGGCTTCAGAAATTCAAATGAATGTGTTAAGTATAATAACTGTTCATCTAATCTAAATAACCTCCCCGCAATACTGGGGATTTTGCACTACTTGTAAGCAAACTTACGCCACTATTTTATGGCCTTATAATGGTATGATTACCATACAATTTTATTATAAGCTAGAATTACTCAAGTATTTCTCATTGGTCTTGAAGACTTTAAATTGACAGCTTTTTGAGTGGAGATCTTTTCCATCTGATCAGGCTATTCAGTAACAGTAGCTGATAATGGCTTGAGGCATTTAGTGCCTTAACCAGGGTGTTACTTTGTGTCATTGATTTTTATGTCCAAACGGTTTGTTGTTTGGAGGAACTTCTCCACAGCAAAAAATGTGAAACAATAAAACTTTAATCTTTCCAAAAAAAATTAAAAAAAATATTGAAACATTAGGTAAGAAACTAATTTTATTTTTGTCTGTTTATTAAGATAATTAAAATAAACATGGCTATATCACAAAAAGAAAATTAGTAATTTGCTTTAAGTGGATTTCATTTTTATTGGGGAATAACTATGCATTTCACTATAGTTTTGGTATAGTGTACGGCTGCAGTGCCTCACCCCTGGGCCCCGGACCAGTACCGGTCTGTCCGCAGCTGGTGGAAGTGGGCCACACAGCAGGAAGTGAGCAGTGGGAGAATGAGCTAAGATTCATCTGTATTTACAGCCACTCCTCGTTGTTCACATCACAGCCTGAGCTCCACCTCCTGTCAGATCAGCGACCTCATTAGATTCTCATAGGAGCTCGAACCCTACTGTAAACTGCGCGCGCAAGGAATCTAGGGCCATGCTCCTTATGAGAGTCTAATGCCTGATGATCTGGGGTGGAGCTCAGGTGGTGATGCTAGCGCTGGGGAGCAGCTGCAAATACAGATTATCATTAGCAGAGAGACCATAGCACAGAGACCATAATAAATCAATTGCTTGCAGATCTATATCAAAACCTTATCAGTGAGTGGCAAGTGACAATTAAGCTCCATCTGGTGGCAGGCTTTATAGTGGCAAGTGAGTTGATGTACTTCAGTTGTACAGCTGCATCTGGTGGCAGGGTTTAAGTCAGAATCTGACACTTATTTTAGTCCACGTGTGCCCTGCCCATTATTTTATTTACCACTTCTGTCGTGTCTCTTTCCCGCACTGCACACTTGTCTCAGTCACAGTTTTGGTAAGGCCACAAGCTAACCCTAGCAACAATGAGTAAAAAACAAATGTCACTGAAGAGCTTCTTTGAAAAGGGGGAAAGACCCAATGATAAGACAGAAAAAGACTCTAAGACTGCCAACAAAATGAAAGCTGCATTTAAAAGAAAACACCAAGAGTCCTACTTAAATTACGGGTTCATTGCAACAGGTGATTCACATTCTGCAAGCCCACTTTGTATAACATGTGGCAACCAGCTATCCATGAAACCTTCAAAATTGCTTCACCACATGGAGACCAGGCACCCTGCATTAAAAGACAAAAGCCTTTGGAGTTTTTCAAAAGAAAAAACCATGAACACAAAGAACAGAAGCAATTATTGAAAGCCACCACTTCATTAAATGTGTCTGCACGGATAGCATCATTCTTAGTGGCTAACTGCATTGCAAAATCTAAGAAGCCCTTTACCACTGATGAAGAGTTGATCCTGCCTGCTGCTAAGGACATTTGCTGTGAGCTTTTAGGAGAGGCTGCAGTTCCAAAGGTGGTGGCACGTGTTCCTCTTTCAGCTAGCACCATAACTAGATGAATTGATGAAATAGCAGAGGATATTGAGGCACAATTGTTAGAGAGGATTAATGAGTCACCATGATATGCACTCCAGGTTAGCAAGTCTACTGATGTTGACAACAAGGCAACAATGCTTGTTTTTGTGCAATATATTTTTCAGGAGGATGTGCACGAGGATATGTGATGTGCACTTTTGTTGCCAACCAACACCACAGCTGCAGAACTGTTCAAGTCTTTGAATGATTACATATCAGGAAACTGCATTGGTCATTTTGTGTTGGTATTTGCACAGATAGAGCAGCTGCCGTAACTAGATGGCTTTCTGGTTTCACTATTCGAATCAAGGAGGTCACTTCTGAATGTGAGTCTCTGCTCTGTGTCGTGCATAGAGAAATGCTGGCTAGCCGAAATATGTCACCTGAACTAAACAGCGTTTTTCAGGATGCAATTAAAATTATCAGCCACATTAAAGTACGTGCCATTAACTCACATCTGTTCACGCAGCTCTGTGAGGAGATGGACGCCGAGTGTCTTCTCTTATACATGGAAGTGAGATGGCTTTCTAAAGGTAGATCACTGGCCAGAGTTTTTGAGTTAGGCTAGTTGCTCCAGGGATTTGTTTTAGAAAAACAGTCACCACTGACAGCACATTTCAGCAACACAAAACTTGCTTACTTGTGTGACATATTCAACCTGCTCAACAAATTCAATCTGTCACTTCAGGGGAGAACAACCACTGTGTTCAAGTCAGCAGATAAAGTGGCTGCATTCAAAGCCAAACTGGAATTATGGGGGCGACGAGTGAACACTGGGATTTTTGACAGGTTTCAAACATTAGCAGAGATTTTGAGAGAGACTGAGCCAGGGCCTCCTTTCTCCCAGCTGGTGCATGATCACCTATCTCAGCTTTCAAAGGAGTTTGACCGTTACTTCCCAACCATGAAAACCCCTCAAACTGGGAAGGAATGGATCTGCGACCCATTTGTGAATAAGGCAGGTGAATCGACTTTGTCTGTGCTAGAAGAGGATCAGCTGCTTGAGATCGCAAATGATGGTGGCCTTAAAAGTATGTTTTAGACAACTTCAAATATCCATATGTTCTAGATTAAAGTCAAGGTGGAATATCCTGAGATTGCCACAAAAGCACTAAAAAGCCTGCTTCCATTTCCAACATCCTATCTTTGTGAAGCAGGGTTTTCTGCAGTGACAACAACGAAAACGGGATTATGGAGTAGACTGGACATAAGCAACACGCTTTGGGTGTCACTGTCTCCTATCACTCCTTGATGGGACTGTCTAGTTGCAGGAAAACAAGCTCAGGGCTCATACTGATTCTGCATTATGGTGAGTTGTATAATTATTTCATTAGATATTAATATGTAATAATGTAGTATTCTGGAAAGAGCTGGAACACATTCTACTAAGTGAAGTATCCCAAGAATGGAAAAACAAACACCACATGTACTCACCATCAAATTGGTATTAACTGATCAACACATAAGTGCACATATAAGAATAACATTTATTGGTTGTCGGGCAGAGGGGAGGAGGGGACGAGTATACACAAAGAGTGCGACGCTCACCATCCGGGGTATGGGCATGCTTGAAGCTCGGACTTGGAGGGGGGAGGGGGGAAGGGCAACATATGTAACCTAAACATCTGTACCCCCATAATATGCTGA